TCCTATCACCTCACGCACTCTCTTTTTTTCTCTCCTATCGTCGTGCGTACTCTCTCCTCTTCTTCTCTTCTATCGCCGCTTGCATGCTTTCTTCTTTATCTCTACTATCGCTACGCACATTCTCTCTTCTTCTTCTTTCTTATCGTCGCACACACTTCCCCTTCTTCTTCTATCCTATCCTCGGGTGCAGCTACTTCATCGTGCTTAAGAAATTTGGGTCGTTACACAGTGCCACAAAGGCTACTCATAAAATCTCATAGTCATAAAGACTTATCAACTGGCTCACAAATGCTCTAACATGCCACAAAGCCATCAATTATGATGATCTCTTAATTCATCTAAGTCCCATAACAACCACACTCCTTTCTAATGGGTAAATATTAATATCCTTTGTTAATGGATCAGAAACCATCATCTATATAGGAAGATAACTAGCTTCTACCTCTTATTTGCCACAAATTCTCTTGTGGAGTGATATTTCTTCGTAATATACTTTGACTTGCCATAATACATTGGGTAGTTTGAAATGACTATTGCTGCTTGACTATCATAATATATCATTGTAGGCCCATGCTCGTATTTGATTAGTGGCATTTCACTAAGAAATTACCTTTTGAATATTGCATCTCTTGAAGCATGATACAATGCAATGTACTTTACTTCTATTGTACAATGTTAGATACATTTTTTTTTTTTACTACCCCACGAGACACATGTCCAACCAAAAGTAAATAACCATCCAGATGTTAATCTATATTCATCAACTTCACCTCCTAAATTAAGATTGCTATATCCCTCAAGGATTAGATTCTTAGTGCTATAACATAAGCCATAATCATGTGTCCCTTTTAACTATCTAAATATTCTCTTAACCAATTTCCAATGCTCAATACTAGGATTGATCATATATCGACTAGAAAATCTCACTACACAAATTATATCGGTTTAAGACAATATAACTAAGTGACCCTACAGCCTGTGCATAAGGAAAATCATATACGCTTTCTTTCTCTTTATTAGTTGTAGGGCACATTTCCTTTATTAATCTATAATTTTTATCAATTGGAGTAGCCATGGTTTAGAATTCTCCATTCTACATTTCTTTAGTACTTTTAGAATATATTGCTCTTCTAGTAATTTTAGTTCCTTACATATAGTTAACATATCCTATATCTTTCATCTCAAACTTAGAGGATAACCACATCTTACATTCCTCAATGGCTTTTCCATCATTTCCTATTATGGTTATATCATCTACATGCACGACCAAATTAAATGAACACCCAATTGTCTCTAGTGTATACACAATAATTTGTAGTTATATTCTTAAATCCATATTCTCTAAGTATATGTGAGAATATCAAATACCATTGTTTTTAGATTGTTTTAAATCATTTAATGATTTAATTAATTTGCATCTTTTATTTTATTCACCTTTACATTCAAAACCTTCAGGTTGAGACATGTAAATTTATTCTAATGGAAGATTTCCTGGCTATAGGTAAAATTTTTTCTTTGTAGTCAATGCCTTCCGTTTGACTAAATCCCATAGCCACCAACCTTGCTTTTATATCTATTAACACTTTCATCAGAATTAAGCTTTTTGGAATATACCCATTGACAATCAATTGCCTTTCTATTTGTAGGTAATTCTGCTAATACCCATGTTTTATTATTTATTAAAGACTCATATTCAGTCCTCCTAGCTTCCATCCATCTCATTGCTTAAGGTGAACGAATAACTTCTTTAAAATTACATAGTGCTTCATTAACTTCATTATAATATACATATTCATCTAAATAACAAGGTTTTTTATTCTTCTTGATACTACTTCTCGGCTCAAATTAGTAGTACCAATTTGAGAAGAACTTTCTACATCAATTATGTTAGGATTTTAATGTTCTTCTTCCCCACTTTGCTCTAAAATTCTAGTTCCGTTTACCTTTGATGTTAGAAGTAAACATGTCTACTCTCAAGAATTTCTTTAAATTGTTTGTATAAAATTTATATCCCTTAGAGTCATTGATTCTCCCACAAATATGGACTTTATAGTTTTGGGTCCTAGCTTCTCACTCTTCTCACAGGGAATATGAACATGTGTCATAGAGCCTCATACCTTGATATGGTCTAGATTGGGTTTCCTACCAAACCATAACTCATATGGTGTTATATTAGTTGATTTGGAAGGCACTTTATGTTATGTATATGTTGCTGCCATGATAGCTTCTCCCTAAAATTGATATTCTCTACCGGCTTCTTGAATCAATATATCGATTAAAACTCTATTTTTCACTTGGCCATTCCATTTTTGTTGAGAGGTGTAAGGCATAGAGGTTTGGCTAAGTATTCTATTGTTATTACAAAACTCACTAAATCTATTTGGTCTATATTCTCCTCCTCTATCATTTGTAAGAATCTTGATTTTTATATTTAAGTGGTTTTCAGCTTCTAATTTATATCTTTAAAATCTGTCTAGTGATTCGTCTTTATGAGAAATGAACTCTGTAGAATCAATATGATACATACAGAGACATACATGTTCGTATGGATACATACATTCTCTTTTTACAATTTTTTGTATTTATACACATGTGCTTGGAAGATTGTTTCTAAATTTTTAGATTTCACTATCGATGACATATTAAATTCTTTCAAATTTTGTGTAAACAAAAAATATACTATTAATTTTTTGATTTCGTATATGATGCCTAGAGATGATTGTGGTCATAGAAAGTAAACGATCCACAGAGCATAAAATCCCTTTAAATAAGGGAAGTATGTCATTAGGTCGTAGCTAGCAATGGTCCAAATCGTATTGGAAAATCCCAGTCATTGCATAGGAGACTCGAGACTCTGGGGAGGTGTAACATCCACCTTGATGAATATGCAAATGAACAATAAAAATTGATTCCAAACCCTAATATGTTCATCTTACAAGACTTGATCGTCCATTTCAAGTTTCACTAGCCATGTGGACGAACATGATGTTTTGAGCCCAATTCGATCTATTCGCAATATTTTTACACACAATATTGATGGTGAATCTGACTCCAATCTATTTATTCATTACCGTTTTGTGTCTAGGATATAGTATTTGCTGTTTGGGTTACTTAGGGTGAATTCTCTATTACCCCAAATTTGTGATGGGTGTTTTGTCACTGTTAACCTTTCAACATTTACCTTCCCTGTGCAGTATGATGTGGAATATAGCAAGAGGGGTAGTGATGTGGGAATTGTGGAAAGAGAGGAATAGATGGATATTTGGCGTGGTTTGTTTATCGTTTGAGAGAGTGCTATCCAAGATTCAAGTTTCCATTTAGTGTTGGGCATCTATTACTAAAAATAGTGGGGAATTATATAACTTGATGTCTTGTTAAATTTGTAGAATCTTTTTCTGATGGGCAGTTTTAAGACTAGATCAATAAGCATATGGGTAGTACCGTCCTTAGGAGGATTCAAAATAAACTTTGATGGTAGCTCCCTGGATAACCCGAGGGTAGCAGGTATAGGAGGTATGCTGCATAACGCTTTTGGTGAGGTTATTTTTACCTTTGTAGGGCTGGCTGGTATAGTTACTGCAAATCACACAGAATTACTCGCTGTGTTAGAAGGTTTGAAGGTCTTAATTGCTAGAAACATTGGCAGTTCTTGTGTGATTGAGGGTGACTCTATGAATGTGATTCATTGGTGTAATAAGGAGCGTCAAGTTCCCTGAGAGTTAAGGTCTTGTTGGCTTCAAATTGTGAACCTAGTGGAACCATTGTCTATAACTTTTCTTCATGATTATAGGGAGACAAATTCTTTGGTAGACCATCTTGCTAAAGGAGGCACAACTTTGTCGTCTCTTTCTATTTCTTCAGATGTAATCTCCTTTTCATGAGGCTTTTTTTAATAAAGGTTACAAGTTCTTAAAAAAAAAATAAAATAAAGTACTAATATGTATTTTTATCCTAAAGTTTTACATCCAACTTTTTGAACCAAAACCAATTTACCTTAACTTAAAAAGCAATAGTCATTTCTTTGTAGGTAATGTTGTCAATGATAACAACCTCTATTAATAGTTAGGAAAAGGTTTCTATATTTCCCCTACATAGAAGATCTATGCTTCTCCTACCATCCAGCCGTCCAATTTTGATCAAGAGAGCCACTCACCGTTTGATCTAAGGTCCGACGTCTTAAAGTATTTTATTTTTATTTATTTTTATACAAATTATATGAATGTGAAATTTGGTATTTTCCATCTTCACATTGGGCGCACCTATAAAAAATATTAAAAATAATTTTTGATAAAATATAATGACGAAAATACCACTTGAATTTTTAGGGGTATTTTGGATATTTTATTTTATTGGAAATATGTTTTTAATATTTGTCCGCTATTGCGAGTTTAATAGAGGATTGGACATCCAAAATTGGTGTCAAAATAGTTTACAGAAAAAATTAAAAATAAAATAAAGTAGAGACGTGACATTGTGATTGGGGCAATCTTAGCCCTTCATTCAAAATTGACGGTAGGATAATGGGAAATATATAAGTTTTATGCTGTAGGGGAAGCATAGAAAGCTTGCCCTAATAGTTATACATACTTCTTTATAGAAAAGGCAAGCTTTCTATGCTCCCCCCTACAATATAGAAGTTCTATCCTCCCCTTACCATTTAGCGGTCCAATTTTGATCAAGAGAGCCACTCACCGTTTGAT